TGAGAATGGAGTAGGAAAACAGGGACGAACAGCTTCATTCAACGAATTCAACGAAAGCTTAAGATGAGTGGAAGGGGGAAAACCGGCAAACTCTGCTGAACTGTGTTGTGTTGATTTAGTTCAGTGCCTTGTGGCTCTGAATTTGAACTTATTTCTTCCCTATTTTTGATCCCAAGCTCAAAGTGAACTGTGAAGTCTAACAAAACTTTGAAGTTTAAGAAACTATGTCCCAGAGGGGAGCCCCCCCCACCAGTGGTGTGGAGGCATTGGGCTAAACTATGCTATGTGGCCCCTGGAGAAGCCCCAAATCGTTCAGAAGTGGGATCTCAGCTGTTACGGAGCCAATGGATAAATGCACAAGATATCCATTCATTTATAGCACTTCCAAATCGCAAAGACTTTGAAATAATTTTTCTTCAGGACAGAGCTTTGCAGAGATTTACTCAAATCTTTAATGCTGGTGTTGGAAATGGCTTCTGGAAGGATTGGGAGCTGGACACCTCTGCCCCACAAGATATTAGATTCATCTATGTGAAGTTCTGGACCGGCAAGGTGGCGGACGCTGATGTTGAGCAGTACCTACGCAGGTACTGTGAGATCTTACAGGTTGTGTTTAAACCTCTGGATCAGTTTGGCCTGTGGTATGGAGTCCGCTGTTATAAAGTGAAGCTGCATCATAACCAGATCCCAAATTCGATCTCTTTGGGGTCATATAACGGCAGGATCTCATACCCTGGTCAGGTACAGAGGTGCTACATGTGTGGTTCCCAAGACCATCAAGTGAAAGAGTGTGAGGCCTTGAAGTGTTGGAAGTGCAGGGAGCTTGGGCATAAAGGTAAAGAGTGCAAAAACACAGAACTATGTCATTTGTGCCAGGAACGAGGCCACACTTACTTTAAATGCCCAAGCTCTTATAGCAATAAAGCACGTGGACCAACACCAAAGCAATCTACTGACATCAACGCAGCTCAAAATGGAGAACATCAGGAGGACACGGCACCTCAAACCAGTGAGGTCATCCAAGAAGCCCAGAACAGCATTGAGGGTCCAGCTCAGATCAACACTGGAGGAGAAGAAAACTCTGCAAGTTCCACCAGCGACAGCTCTGTCACCAGCCCCAGTGGCAGAGGGGATTCTTCCCCCATCGGGACGTCAGAAAGTGTCACCTGGACAAGAAGCCACAGGAGCAGGAATGACGTATGGACAGCAGTTACAGGAGAACAAAGGTGATGCTGTTCTTCTTACTCCTGACATTCCTAACAGTCTTCACAGTGGAAGTCTTCCCTCCACACAGTCTAGCACTTCCATTCTAAGAGTGGCTAAGAAGCGCAGAAAAAGAGCGACCATACCAAGTTCCAGTGTTCAGAAAAAAAAAATGAAGGAGTAAGAACTTTTTGAACATGGAGACAAAACCGTATATTATGTACTTTCTCTTATTCTTTAAATGTCTGTTAATATCATATCTATTAATGTTAGAGGAATACGTACAGAACGAAATAGAAAGATGAAAGTAGAGAGTTTAAAGGACAAAAAATGTGACATATGTGCACAAGAGTTGAGGTTGAAGGATAATAATGACATTAATAGCGTTAAGGAAATGTCTGTGGGTGAGGACAGTGCTGACGGGGTGGGAATCTTCTTCAAACAATTGTGCCCGGCAGGTTACTATTAGTTAGTAGATTGTGTGTACAGGAATGTTAAGTTAAAAATTGTTAATATATATACACCCCCTGACAGAGCTGGCAAGATGAGATTATTTTATAAACTGTATGAGCTACTTTGTGTGGGATTTGGGGTTATATTGTGTGGAGATTTTAACGTTATAACAGAAGAACATGATAGAATACCAATTAAAGACATTCCTCTGTCTAGAGATGGGAAACTTCTTAAAAAGTGTGTGACATGTGTAAAATGGTAGATGCCTTTAGGGAAATCTACCCAAACAAACCAGGCTATACACGGATAGATAGTCGAGTTAAAACCAGAATAGACAGAGTTTATGTGTCTAGTAATATTAAGGTTTTGTATTATAAAACTGAATATTTGGTAGAATCTGATCATTTGGCAGTGAATGTGAGGATGAACTTGGGTGTTAATGAACAGCGAGGATACTGGAAACTGAATACAAAATGTTTAAAGAATGAAGAAATGGTTTTAGGGCTAAAGCAAGAGATTAAAAGGATTAAAGGATTAAAAAGGATTAAAGATTAAAGATCTGAAGGTTTTAACAAGTTCAGGGATTGATTTGTGGTTAGTTTTCAAAAAACAAATAGTCATTTTTTAAATATAAGTGTAAGGAATTAAATAAAGAGAGAAAAGAGTATTATAATAATTTAATGCTAGAATTTGTGGAATTACAAAGCAAACATCAAAATGCAGAAGATGAAGATTAACTATCTAAAATTAAATCAGAATTATTGCAGATGAATGAGATTTTTTTTTTTTAAATGTACTGCTTCAAGCAGGTTTACATACCGACTTAACAGGAAATGCACAAAATGTAATCAAAAAACTAAATGAAAGGAGAGAAAATAAAAGAATCAGAGGAATAAAAGACGATCATGGTAACATTGTTGAGAATGAAAAAGAAAAGAGAGAGCTTATTAGGTCTAAATGCCAAGAAGCTTATAAGAAATTTCCAGTTGATGAGGAAAAAATTACACAGTTTTTATCTTCTTGTCCAAAACTAAGTGGAGCAGATTTAAGTAATTTGACTAAAAATATAGAAAAGACAGAGATTCTCAGTGCAATTGAAAGTCTAAATGATGGGAAATTGCCGGGGCCAGACGGGCTGCCGGCCGAATTCTATAAAGCTTGCTCGTCTGAAATTGAGTGACCTACTGATGGAGTATTTTAATGAAGGACTGAAAAAGGGAATGTTAAATCAGAGTTTTTTTTTATCAGGGTGTGGTGTCGCTGATCTATAAAAAGGGAGATCAGTATAATTTAGACAATTGGAGACAAATAAGTGTGATGAATATAGATTATTAAGATTAACATTTTAGCCAAAGTCTTAATGAAACGAATGAGCGAGTTTTTAAATAGAATAATTGAATTTGAGCAAACGTGTGCAATAAAAGGTCATTTTATGATTGATAATTTATGCATAGTTAGGGACCTCATTTCAGACAAGCAAACTAAGGACTTCTGTCTGATCGGTCTGGACCAGAAAAAGGCTTTTGATTTTGTTTCGAGGGAGTACTTGTGGCAAGTGATGGATTGCTATGGTTTTCCTCTAAAATTCATAAATATGGTGAAAGTCTTGTGTAAGAAATCAATAGTTCAGATTAATGTAAATGGAGTTTTAACAGAAAACCTTGAGATTCACAGAGGGGTTAAACAGGGATGCCCTCTGAGTGCTGCACTCTATATCATGGCCATAAGTCCTCTTTTGAACAAAATCAAGCAGGACCCTCGTTTTTCTGGGGTGACTAATAAACTGGGTGAACAGGTCAAAACCTCGGCTTATGCAGACGATATAATGGTGTTTGTTAAAAGTCAGAGTGAATTTAATGTGGTATATGAACATTTTAAAAACTATGAAGAGGTCGCTGGGGCGAAACTAAACACAGATAAGACGGAGGGAATATGGCTGGGTGGAAATAAATCGCCTCACTTGAGTTTAGACATGAAGGAAGAGGTTAAAATTTTAGGACTCTCAATTACAAGAGGAAACTGTGCTGAGAATAATTGGAATAATAAAGAGGAAGAGATCAAAACAGAGTTGGAACAATGGAAAGTCTCAAATTATAAAACCAAGATCCAAATTGTTAAAACTTTTGTTTTGTCCAAATTGCTGTACTTAGCCACAGACTATTGAGACTATTGAACATCTGTTAATTCATTGTGAACGATCTGTGGATGTGTGGAAAAGACTAAAAGCTCTGGGTGTTAAATTCGATATGAATGTTAAGTCTATAAATGTTTAGAAATTTTGAGGAAAGATTGTCAAAGAATATTAAAGATTTTTATTAGTTGATTGTATTACTAACTGTAAACTGTGGAAAACAAGATGTAAAATGGTAATACAACAGATGCAAATCCCTGCAGAAGTTGTTTTTAAACAGAAACTTTTGAACTGAAACGACTGCGAACAATGGACAGAAAATCAAAATATCGCTAGACTCTGCTGGATTTATAATTCTCCTTTAAATTCAAATTCTGATTTAAATTAATTTTAAGTTTGTGTATAATTGTATTTTAGATGGATTTGTTGTGTTTGTGCGTGAAATGGTATTCATGTGACTTTGTATTTTTGATATGTAATTGAAATATTTAATCAAGTTTATTTAAAAAGGAAAACAGGGACGAGAGAAAAAATTTCCCCTGGACTCCGCTGTAAATAACTGTATACATTGCGAATTGGAGAAATGTTGATGTTTCTATTGTTGTATTGTGTATTTGAAAATGTGTTTGTGTTTAAATAACATTCCTCAATAAAGCGTGTTATAAAAAGCGAAAACATTTCTTGATGTCCTTTCCCTCTTGGTCTCTCTCACTCACCCGAGAGTTTGACGGCGCTAATCCGATTGGTTGGTGGAGAACGTATCATTTAAACCAATAGAAACAAAGCCATTTAGCCGATAGGAAGGGGTTCAGGAACTGAAAGACTTCATTTCAGCTTTGGTTGATGAACTCAACTGAAATGAACGGTGAGCGCACCTAAGACGAGTTCGTCAACCTAAGCTGAAATAAATAAACCCGATCTCAGAACGCCCTTCGTATAGGCAAAACGACTGCGTTTCTATTGGCTCAAATGGGAGGACCTCAAGGAACCAATCATATTAGCGCCGTTAAGCTGTACGGTCCCAAGTCCGCTTCTCTCACGCCCCCTCGTGCGTGTGTGACAGAGAGATGAAAACAAAGAATGAATGAAAGCAACGTATATACGCCCGTTTTCTCGCTCTTTTCACCTTTCATAGCAAACTTTACTGAAGAAAATTTATTTTAGTACTAAAACATCTTTAAAAATAGCACAAAAAACATTCCAAATCCAAATATTGAATTCACAATATTACAGTTTAATTACATTGAGTAATGTGACAGATTCTCGCTGTTTTCCTTTTTAAATAAACTTGATTAAATATTTCAATTACATACATATCAAAAGAACAATACAGAGTCACATGAATACCATTGTACACACAAACACAACAAATCCATCTAAAATACAACTACCCCATTCCCGCTCCTGTTCCTAAAGTACAGTAAGGGCCGACTAAAGATTTTCGATGTACAGCACGAAAGAACATTGAGCTCTTTGAGAGGAAAATGTGGGTGTGGCTCTTAAAAGAGCCGTTTTTGAGTGGAGAAAACAGAACACGAAAGTAAAACGGTCCGTTTACTTCTTTTTGGGGGCGGCCTTTTTCGCCGCTTTGGGCTTGGCTGTTTTGGGTTTGACCGCCTTCGCTTTCTTCGGGCTCTTGGCCGCCTTCTTCGGGGCTGCCGGCTTTTTGGCTTTCTTGGGAGACTTGGCGACTTTCTTAGCGGCCGCCGGTTTTTTGGCTTTCTTCGGCGATTTTTTAGCGGCCACGGGCTTCTTCGCCGCTACCTTCTTGGGCTTCTTAGCAGCGGCGGGCTTTTTGGCGGCCGCCTTCTTGGCTTTGGGCGCCGCTTTCTTTGCCGGCTTCTTCTTGGGCTCGGCTTGTTTCTTGTTGAGTTTGAAGGAGCCGGAGGCGCCGGTGCCTTTGGTCTGCACCAGAGTGCCCTTCGTCACGAGACTCTTAACGGCGATCTTGACGCGGGAGTTGTTCCTGTCCACGTCGTAGCCGCCGGCAGCCAGAGCCTTCTTGAGGGCGGCGAGAGACACGCCGCTCCTCTCCTTAGACTGAGAAACAGCCTTGACGATGAGTTCGCCGACACTCGGGCCGGCTTTCTTGGGCCGGGCGGCGCTTTTCTTCTTGGGAGCTTTGGCCGGCGCGGCGGCGGCTGGAGCGGGAGCGACTTCTGCCATCGTTCTACTTTTGCTGCGAGCGGAGCTGCACTGTTCAGAGGAACCTCCCTCTCCGGCGACGGGCCGGCCCCTTAAAAGCCACATGAGAACGGTGTAGACTCAACCCGGCGGGCGCTGTGCAGCCGTGCCTCAGTGACGCTCTCGCACTTGTGTTTCTCGTGGCGTTTATCGGCCAAAATAAGAGCGAAAGCGGTACCTGGAGAGCGTCCAACGGCTCGATTTTATAGAAGGGACTCTGCCGTGTTTCCTAAGTCCGGGATTGAGCGCGCAGCGACGCCTCGTTTCGCAGGGCGCTCTTAAAAGTGCGCCGCGCGCCACCCGCTCCGAACGAGATACGGTGTATTTAGCGCAATAATCTGTGATAAACGGTGGCAAACGGCGGCGCGAGCCTTCGGAGAGCTCCACGGCGCGTTCGGGGAGAGTCTCGGCGAGGGCGTGAGCGAACTCCGACTGGCCGAGCGCCCCGTTGATTAGGGGTTAAACGAGCTTTCTTGGAGCGAGTAAAGCACACGCGTAAGCCGGCGGCCGCTGGGGGCAGAGCCTGATCTCTGCTGATGTGCTGTTATATAAATAAACTTTGACTTGACTAGTTAGAAATAATCACAAGCTCGTTCTAACCCTAATTAGCTTTACCCGAACTTCTGCGTAACTAAACCCCTTCTAACCCTACTAGAAAATTATTTCATCACAAACCTAGAGGGAACTAGCTGTGAAATACTCCAGCTACATCATGAGCCTAAGGCCCAGTTCCAAACCAACTTTTAGTCATTCTAAATTATTCACAAGCCTAATGACATTCATAAGCCTGAGGTCTTGCCAAAATCCATCTATTATAGGTCCAAGGCTTAACTGTAGACATTCTTTTGCTTACTATGACCTCAGCAAAGTCAAAGGTCCGAAATCTACTTTCACTTTATCTAACTTCACCATAAACCCAAGGCCGAGCTCTAAATCTAATATTACATACTTTAACTACATGATAAGCCCCAGGTCTGGCTGTAAGGCTAATATGGCCTGCTCTAATTACAACATGAGCTAAACCCTAGCTCTGTGCTTGATTAATTCTCCAACTTCACCATAAGTCTAATGGGACGCTTTAGATCACACTTCACTCACTCTTACTCCATCTCAAGCCTGAAGCCCTGCCCTTGGCTCACTTTGACATTCATTAATTGTAGCACTATAGTTACTGTTACTTGCTCTAACTTTACCACAACCCTAGGGCCCAGCTCTAAACTCATGAGAAACATGGAAGCCTTTCCCCATACTGACTTTAATAACCTTTATTTTTCTTCATAAAACTAAGGCCTAGCTATATAACTACTCTCTTATTCTATTTATATTATGAATCTGAGGCCAAGCTGAAAGGCTTTTGATGAAGCTAGTCTCAGCAAAAGTGGCCTAAGACTTAAAATATACATAGAGTAAGAAACAGGACCTATAGAGCTGGGTCTTAGGTTTGTGCTTTATTCTTACTTCCTTGTGAACCTAAGGCCTTGCACTGAATCCATTGTTATTTATTTTACTACAATAAATGCAAGGCCTAGCTTGATGCCTCTTTTTGCTTACTCTTAACTTCATAAGCTTAAAAAAAACAAAACAAAGAAAAACTTTTTTATTCATGCTCTCTACATCAGGAGCCTCATACCTAACTAGAAACTTACTTATTAACCTACTTTCACTTACTTTGACCTCATAAGCCTGGGGCCTAGATATAAGCCTACATATACTCAATGTAAACACTTCCAAAGCTTGAAGCCAAGTCCCATACCTACTACTGCTTTATCTAACTTTATCATAAGCCCAGGGTCTAGCTCTAAATCTTCTCTTACATACAGTACAATCTGACATCATAAGCCTAAGACCTTGTCCTAAACCTACCTTAAGATTCTCTAATTTCACCATACAACTTAAGGCGAATCTCTAAACCTAACATTGCTTACTCTATCTACATTATGAGCCAGAGGCTCAGCTGAAAGGTTAAATTTTGGCTTACTCAGACTACATCAGCTGAAAGCCTAGCTCTGTAATTACTTTCATTTCTCCAACTTCTCATGCTATAAATGTCATTTCATTCACTAACTCAAACATAACTAAGGCCTAGCTCTATAACCTATCTTAGGCTCTTGATGCTTATCTAAATACATCTTATGCCCAAAGCCCAACCCTGTACCCACTATTACTCACTCCAACTCAACCATAAGTCACAGGCCTAGCTCTAAACCCATCATCACTTATTCTGACTACAATATAAATCTGAGGCCTAGCTGAAAAGCTCATTTTGCTTACACTAAATTCTTCAGAAGCCTAAGGCCTAACTCTGTATCTACCACTACTTACTCTGTCTACAGTATAAGCCTGAGGCATAGCTGTAAGCATGCTTTTTCTGTACCTACTTCTACTTTATAATCACAACTCAGTTCATGCATGTTAACCACATCAGGAGTCTAAGGCCTATCTACTAACATTCACTACACTACAAGACTACGGCCTAGCCAGTAACTTGCTTTCACTAACTCTAGCTTCAGCATGAGCTAAAGGCCTTACTCTATACCTACTGCTTATTTGACCACATTATAAGCCTGAGGCACAGCAGCCAGCCTCCTTTTGCTTACTGTAACTTTATCCTCAGCTTAATCTTTTAAGCTTTTTCTGTACCTAAATTTACACACTTCTTCGTAAACCTTACCTAGCTCTTAACCTACTGTCACTTATCTGTCTGCATTACAGGCCTGATGCGTAGCTCTAGGCCTACTTTTGCTATTCCAAGCATATCATGAGCATATATATATATCCTCATGTACCTCCTTTAACTTGTCCATTCATCACATGTCTATGGCCTCACTCTAACACTTGATCTAACTACATCATAAGCTTAAAGCCTAGCTCTGCACACACACTACTGCCAACTCTGACCTCACATGCTAGAGGCCTCACTGTAAACTCACCTTTACTTTCTCTAACTTCAAAATATGTCTATAAACATAGCTTTGCTCACTCTTACTTCATCATAAGCTTAGGGCATAGCTCTGTAGCTACTTCTACGTCATACCTTCATCATAAGCATGATGCCTTGCCATGTTCCTCTTTTTATTCACTTTAGCTGCTGCAGAAGCCAAAGGCCTAGCTATTAACTTATTATTCACTAACTTCAACTTTAAATCTATTTGTATTTACTATAAGCCTACAGTGGAAGTGTTAGAATTAGGCCTTAAACTCATGATGTACTTAGACTGAATGGAACGAGGTACATAGCAAGACATTAGGCTTACAATGAAGTTTGAGTAAGCAAAAGTATCATAAGCCTGTCCTAGGCTGAGCGTGCTGCAGTAAGGCTCTCTCTCCTTTCTCATAGAAAGCAATAAAAATAATCCTAGATTACTATTTAGCACAATTTCTAAAATAACGGAGAACAAAACAGTAACCCCAGATTCCATTAGCCGATAGCAGCAATGATTTTATGAATTTCTTTAGTGATACAATTGAAGAAATTCGGCAGAAAATTCAGAATACACAATTAAACTCTACAAACCTGCTGCTTTATAATGCCAGTCTAGATCCTGATAATACTATAATCAGTGCAGAGAGTTTTGAATTGTTTACCTTACGTCAAAAAAATGAACTAGTTAAAATCGTTTCTTCCACAAAAGGAAATTTTGCCAGAAATAACCAAACCTATTCTCTCAATAATAAACTCCTCTCTTAGCCTTGGATACATCCCAAAAACTCAAACTAGCAGTAATAAGGCCGCTGATTAAGAAAGCTAACCTTGATGTCTGCAACCTGTCAAATTATAGACCTCCTCGAATCTCCCCTTTATATCTAAGATCCTGGAAAAAGCGGTAGCAAAACATATCAAGCGAACGGGATGATAAAAATAAACTTAGCAAGATTGAGGACTGTATAAAAGACATAAAAGACTGGATGTCGAGTAACTCTCTGGTACTTAACGCAGATTAAACAGAGGTCCTGCTTCTTGGACCTATAGCAGCTAGAAACAAACTCTCTAATTTTACACTTAAACTTAACAATTTCTCAGTTGCATCAAGCTCATCTATCAAAAATCTTGGTGTCGTGATAGACCCTGATCGGTCCTTCAATGCACATAACTAATATTACTAGAACAGGCTTCCTGCATCTCCACAATATTGCTAAATTAAGAAATGCATTGTCTCTACAGGATGCAGAAAAGCTGGTTCACATATTTATTACTTCAAGGCTAGACTACTGTAATGCCCTGCTGGCTGGATGTCCCAGCAAAAGCCTTAACAAGCTTCAGCTATTCCAGGACGCTGCAGCCAGAGTTCTTACTAGAACCAGAAAGTTTGACCATATCAGCCCAGTTTCATCAACCCTACACTGGTTACCAATTAAATTTTTACATTGATTATAAAATTCTCTTACTGACCTATAAAGCTGTAAACGGACTCGCCCCTCAGTACCTGAGCGAACTTCTCTCCTACTATGAACCATCACGCCTACTTAGATCACAAGGTGCTGCTCACTATTAGTACCTGGAATTAATAACGTTACATCAGGAGGGAGAGCCTTCTCATACAAAGCCCCCCCAGCTTTGGAACAATCTTCCTGTTAATGTTCAGGACTCAGACACAGCCTCAGTCTTTAAGTCTAGGCTAACTTACTTGTATAGTCAAGCCTTTGGCAATTAGTTTTCGTTGTCAGATCTAGACCTGCCAGAGTCTCTGCTGCTCCGTAATACTGTAATCTGTGATCAGTCACTCATTACAGAACTGACTCTCTGTGTTTTTCCTTTCTTTGCCGAGTTGAACAGCTGCCCATCCTGTGCGTCTGATGCTGTTGCCTCTTCTGCCTTGATCTGGTACCACTGCTCACCAGCCTTTTGGACCGGCTTGACCACCATTGAGCTTCATGCTGTACAACGCTGTGCAATCCTCACCCTCAGATGCTGCTGCTGCCGTTCCATAATCATAAACTAATCAAATTAACCATTGCTCCATCTGTTTTTCCCGCTTTGTACTATAATGCCTCTACTAAAAATGTTTGCTATCCGGTGTCGACCAGAGGAGGATGGGTTCCCCTTCTGAGTCTTGGTTCCTCTCAAGGTTTCTTCCTCCTTCTCTTGGGAGCTTTTCCTTGCCACTGTTGCCACTATCGACGCTCATGAGGGCTCGGACCCGGATTTTCTTTCTGTAATGCTGTTGTTTTTTCTTTCTGTAAAGCTGCTTTGTGACAACACCTGTTGTATAGCGCTTTATAAATAAACTTTGCTGCTTGCTTAATCTCATTTCTACTTTCTCTAACCTAGTCATGTCCCTAAGGTCTAGCTTTAACTACACATAAACCTAAGGTTTAGCCCTGCACCTATTATTACACACTATAACCACAGTAGAAGTCTGAGGCTCAGCTATAAGCCTCCTTTTGCTCACTCTAACTTCATCAGGCACCTAAGGCCTAGCTTTAAACCTACTTGTACCCACTATGATTTTACCATTAGCCTGAGGCCTATGTGTAAATATAAATATGCTCTTAATTCATCATTAGCCTGACCAACCAATAACTTTCTCACACATACGCCATCATTAGTCTGAGGCCTAGCTCCACAGCTACCTTAACTCAATCTGACTACTTTTGAAAACAAAGGCTTAGTGATAAATGTGTAAAACTACTTTTGCTTACTCTAACATAAGGCTTACTTCTTAACCTACCTGTACTCACTGGCACTTTATCATTAGCCTAAGGATTAATTTCACTTACTCTGACTACATCATGAGCCAAACGACTGGCTCTACAACACAGAGCTAAGGCCTCGCTTCTAAAATAATTTTCCTTACTCTCATTTCATCATATGTCTCTGGCCTAGCTGTAAACTTATTTATACTCACTCGAACTTTAACATGACTCTAACTCAAGCCTGAGGCCTTGATAGGTACTTGCTCATACTTCCTGAAGCTTCATCAAAAGCCTAAAGCCTAGCTCCAAACTTATTTTGACTCATTCTAACTTCTTTGTTGACCTGATGCCTAGATATAGAACTACTTTTATCACAGTCTCACCTTATCACAAATCTAAAGCCATGCCTTAGTCCTCAGGGGTTCTCAATTTTGCTTTTGACGCCACGCCACCCAACACCATGTTCCAAATATTCCCTGCCCCACCACACCTGATCCAGTTCATAATCACTTGATGAGCTGGATCAGGTGTGCTGAGTCAAAGAATTGCTACTGGGAGAGAAAAATAAATAAAACGTTTCAGCACTGAGTAGAGTTAAACAATGCTCTAAATTTACCAGCCTACGAACTGCCTGAACACACTCAGCCTACCTCTGCAGGACATGTACTTTAACCTTTATTTGTTTATTTTTGAGTCTCTTCTGACTCCACTCTGGAAGGCCTTCAAATACAGAAACACACACACACACAAAGCATGAAAAGTATTTGTAGGTAAAAAGCTAGAATTGTTAATACAAATATGCATATGCACACAATGACTTGTTTTCCTAAATTCAAATGTGCACTTTAAAAAAACAGTCTTCCCTTTCACATCCTCATGCACTTTTAATGCATTTAATTAGACCATATTTGCTTAAACTGCATATAAAAATGTGATACACAAAGATTTTTTGTTCAAATACATCTTGCTCTTTCCATATATATATATAAAATTTCATACATAGACACATATAAAACACCATTACATTATCATTCTTAAAGTGTGACATTATCCACACAACAGAACAACCACAGGCATGCTCAGAAATTGAGAAATTAACATGTATTAGATATATTACATCACAGCACTTACGAGAGCTAGCAGTTCGCTAGAAAACTTACTCTTTTGGACTGAAACGCTTATGTGGCTCTTAAAAGAGCCTTTGGGGTGTTTTTTTGGGAACTTGTGAGCGCTCCGTTTAATTTAAGCGCGCTCTCCGCGGATACGGCGGGCCAGCTGGATGTCCTTAGGCATGATGGTGACTCTCTTGGCGTGGATGGCGCACAGATTAGTGTCCTCGAACAGACCCACCAAATACGCCTCGCTAGCCTCCTGCAGAGCCATGACGGCAGAGCTCTGGAAGCGGAGATCGGTCTTGAAGTCCTGAGCGATCTCCCGCACCAAGCGCTGGAAGGGCAGCTTGCGGATGAGCAGCTCTGTGGATTTCTGGTAACGGCGGATCTCCCTGAGAGCCACGGTACCGGGCCTGTAACGGTGAGGTTTCTTGACGCCGCCGGTAGCCGGAGCGCTCTTACGCGCTGCCTTGGTAGCCAGCTGCTTCCTCGGAGCTTTACCCCCGGTGGATTTACGGGCGGTCTGCTTGGTTCTTGCCATGTCTTCGAACTCACTAATTCTCGGGAAAAGAAAAAGAATAAACTCATGCGCGCATGACGGCTCTTTTAAGCACTGGAGCTGTTCGCCTCTCATTGGGCGTCTTGAATGTGCCCGCCTCCCATTGGACAGCCGTCCAAACACAGGCTAAGCGTTATTGGGCGTCTTCTTTCGCGCCAAATTTTTGACAAAAAAAAACGAGACTTTGCTCCAACGGCGTGGCGGGCTTCTGCATCACAGCCTTGTTTTTGTTAGCATGCAGAGCTTTTCAAGATTAACTGGAAATTCGAAATTATTTTTCTATATCTTACACGTAATTATTACACGCGTTACTCCTGAACTGGCGTCATTATATGGACGTCTGAGTTTCAGTTTGCTTCAGGAATGAGTGGATAGAGAGCTTCTAAACATTATTCAGTATGCAGTCGGGGGACGTGGGGGTGCTGTGTCTTTTATTTCACGCTCACGTAAACAGTAATCATAAACTGATTTGGGGGGGGGCGGTGACAAGGGAAAAAACAGCACGTTTGTCGCAGAAGTGGGTGGCTCTTAAAAGAGCCTTTGGTTACGTAAAAAAAGAAAAACAATTTACTTGGTCTTAGCCACCTTCTCGGTCTTTTTAGGCAACAGTACGGCCTGAATGTTGGGCAGTACGCCACCCTGAGCGATGGTGACTCCTCCGAGCAGTTTGTTGAGCTCCTCGTCGTTACGAACAGCCAGCTGCAGATGACGAGGAATGATACGGGTCTTCTTGTTGTCGCGAGCAGCGTTACCAGCCAACTCGAGAATCTCAGCAGTCAGATACTCGAGCACGGCAGCCAAGTAGACGGGAGCGCCGGCGCCAACACGCTCGGCATAGTTTCCTTTGCGCAGAAGTCTGTGCACACGGCCCACAGGGAACTGCAGCCCAGCGCGGGAGGAGCGAGTCTTGGCTTTGGCCCTAGCTTTACCACCGGTTTTACCTCTTCCACTCATTTTGCGCTTCTATCAACTTTGCCGAACTAAGCTGAAATAATGAGTGCCGGTTGCCGAACGCCTTTCTTATAGCTAAAGCGGCTGCGTTTCTATTGGCTGATATGCAACAACCAATCGTATTAGCGCCGTCAAACTCTAGGTCCCGCCCACCGTTCTTGTCCACGTACCCCGCTTCTCCCACACCCCTTCGTGCTGCCGCGTGTCTGTGTGTGTGTGTGAGAGAGAAACAAAGAAACGTATACGCGTCCTTGTTTTCCCGCTATATTCCTTTCCCAATTCCCCCTCCCATTCTCATCCATGTAACTACAAATTGCAGCTTAATTATTATGTCGAATCTGGTATTTTCTTATATGATTATTCAGTAATTAAGACTTTGTGCAGGAAGAATGAAAACTGAGCTCTTTGAGAGGAAAATGTGGGTGGCTCTTAAAAGAGCCGTTTTTGAGTGGAGAAAACACGACAGGAAGGTAAAACGGCGCGTTTACTTCTTTTTGGGGGCGGCCTTTTTCGCCGCCTTGGGCTTGGCTGCTTTGGGTTTGACCGCCTTCGCTTTCTTCGGGCTCTTGGCCGCCTTCTTCGGGGCCGCGGGCTTCTTAGCTTTCTTAGGAGACTTGGCCACTTTCTTGGCCGCCGCCGGCTTCTTGGCTTTCTTCGGCGATTTCTTAGCGGCCGCGGGCTTCTTCGCCGCTACCTTCTTGGGCTTCTTAGCAGCGGCGGGCTTTTTGGCGGCCGCCTTCTTGGCTTTGGGCGCCGCTTTCTTTGCCGGCTTCTTCTTGGGCTCGGCTTGTTTCTTGTTGAGTTTGAAGGAGCCGGAGGCGCCGGTGCCTTTGGTCTGCACCAGAGTGCCCTTCGTCACGAGAGTCTTGACGGCGATCTTGACGCGGGAGTTGTTCTTGTCCACGTCGTAGCCGCCGGCAGCCAGAGCCTTCTTGAGGGCGGCGAGAGACACGCCGCTCCTCTCCTTAGACTGAGAAACAGCCTTGACGATGAGCTCGCCGACGCTAGGACCGGCTTTCTTGGGCCGGGCGGCGCTTTTCTTCTTGGGAGCTTTGGCCGGCGCGGCGGCGGCTGGAGCTGGAGCGACTTCTGTCATCGTTCTGCCTTTGCTGCGAGCGGAGCGAGAATGAGCGCGAGCTGCACTGTTCACAGGAACCTCCCTCTCAGGCGACGGGCCGGCCCCTTAAAAGCCACATGAGAACGGTGTAGACTCAACCCGGCAGGCACTGTGCAGCCGTGCCTCAGTGACGCTCTCGCACTTGTGTTTTCTCATGACATTTATCGGCCAAAATAAGAGCGAAAGCGCCGCTTGGCGAGCGCCCAACAGCTCGATCTTATAGAAGAGACTCTGCCGTGTTTCCTAAGTCCGGGATTGAGCGCGCAGCGACGCCTCGTTTCGCAGGGCGCTCTTAAAAGTGCGCTGCGCGCCAGTCGCTCCGAACGAGATGCGGTGTATTTAGCGCAATAATCTGTGATAAACGGTTGCAAACGGCGGCGCCAGCCTTCGGAGAGCTCAACGGCGCGTTCGGGGAGAGTCTCGGCGAGGGTGCGGGCGAGCTCCGACTGGCCGAGGGCCCCGTTGATTAGGGGTAAAACGAGCTTTCTTGGAGCGAGTAAAGCACACGGGTAAGCCGGCGGCCGCTGGGGGCAGAGCCTGCTCTCTGCTGATGTGCTGTTATATAAATAAACTTTGTGATTATTTCTCACTAGTCAAGTCAAACTCGTTCTAACCCTAATTAGCTTTACCCTGACTTCTCCGTAACTAAACCCCATCTAACATTACTGGAAAATTAAATCACAAACCTAGAACAGATAAAGAACTATCTGTGAAATACTCCAGCTACATCATGAGCCTAAGGCCCAGTTCCAAACTAACATTTGGTCATTCTAAATTATTCACAAGCCTAATGACATTCCAAATATCTACCTTCACTCACCCTAACTTCATCACAAGCCTGAGCTCTTGCCCAAATCCTTCTATTATAGGCCCAAGGCTTAACTGTTGACATGCTTTTACTTACTATGACCTCAGCAAAGTCAAAGGTCTTAGCCGAAATCTACTTTCACTTTATCTAACTTCACCATAAACCCAAGGCCGAGCTCTAAATCTAATATGTATTTTAACTACATGATAAGTCCGAGGTCTGGCTGTAAGGCTAATTTAGCCTGCTCTAATTACAACATGATCTAAAGCCTAGCTCTGTGCTTAATTAATTCTCCAACCGCATAATAAGTCTAATGGGACGCTTTAGATCACACTTCACTCACTCTTACTCCATCTCAAGCCTGAAGCCCTGCCCTAAGCTCACCTTGACATTCATTAATTGTAGCACTATAGTCACTCGCTCTAACTTCACCACAACCCTAGGGCCTAGCTCTAAACTACATCATAAGCCTGAGGCCTAGCAGGAAAGCTCATATTGCTAATTCTTACCTCGTCAGAAGCTGAAGGCCTTTGCCCTACACTGACTTTTACAATCTTTCCTTTTCGTAAAACTAAGGCCTAGCTCTGTAGCTACTCTCTTATTCTATTTATATTATGAGTCTGAGGCCAAGCTGAAAGGTCACTTTTGCTTAGACTAGCTTCATCAAAAGCCTAAGACACACACACACACACACACACATATATCACTATTAACTTAAGGCCTATTTCTAAACCTAATATTACTTACTCTTTCCACATTATGAGCCAGAAGCTCAGCTGAAAAGCTAATTTTTGGCTTACTCAGACTACATCATTAGCTGAAAGATTATCTTTGTAACCACTTTCATTTCTCCAACTTCATCCTAAGTCTAATTGCATGCTATAGATGTCTTTTCACTCACCAACTCCAACATAAACCAAAGGCCAAGCACCATATCTACTGTTACTCTAGCTGTAAGATAGGGTATGTGACAGTAGTTAAAGAGCTAGTTACTACTATTTAGTTTAACTTCTTCATAAGGATAAGGCTTTGCTCTAAACCAATTACATGTTTGACTACATCAGATGCCTAGCTGTGAGGATCCTATTGCTTATCTAACTATATTATCTGCCTAAAGCCCAGCCCTGTACCCACTATTACTCACTCTAACTTCACCATGAGCCAAGGGCCTAGCATTAAACCTACGTTATAGGCCTGAAGCATAGCTGCCATCCTCCTTTCCTTACTGTAACTTTATCCTCAGCTTAATGGCTTTTTCTGCACCTTATTTTACATGCTTCATCATAAACCTTACTTAGCTCTTAACCTCCTAAATCTATCTGCATTACAAGCCTGATGAGTAGCTCTAGACCTACTTTCACCAATTCCAAGCATATAATAAGCTTAAAGTATCAAGTCAAGCTTTGTCATTTCAGCTATGTACAAAGTACACAGTGAAACGAAAAAAAAAAAAGAGATTCCTCCAAGACCAATACAGAAACAAGTGCGACAAAATACAATAAACACAGTGCAGACAATACAGTGCAATAAATAAATACGAAAGACAATAAATAAAAAAAAAACAGGACTCAGGCAGTACATGGTACTGAGTGTATGTGGAGCTGTACAAAGGATGTTACACACTATGACATATTAGCAGATAGCCTAGCATATATAAGCATAGCAGTCACTGAGGTAGCAACCAGAGCAGCAATATACAGCTTAGCTCTATACCTACTTTTATGTATCTAACCTCATGTACCTACCAAATCTAACCTCATCATATGCCAGATGCCTTGCTATAAACTCACCTTTACTTTCTCTAACTTCAAAACACATCTCTAAACATAGTTTTGCTCACTCTAACTTCATCATAAGCTTAGGGAACACTTCTGTAGCTTCTTCTACTTTCTCATCATAGCTTCATCATAAGCATGATGTCTTGCTATGTTCCTCTTTTCATTCGCTTTAGCTACCATAAAAGCCCAAGACCCAGCTATTAACTTATTATTCACCAACTTTAACTTTAGCACTTCCACTGTAGGCTGATAGTAAATAAAAACAGATTTATAATTAGGCCTTAGTCTCATGATCTAATTAGACTGAATGGAAGGAGGTACATAGCAAGACATAAGGCTTACGCGTAAGCAAAAGTAGCCTCACAGCTAGACCTCAGGCTTCCTTATTTCACTACATTAAGGCCTGGGACTTTAGAAAAAAGCAAAGGTTGGCTTACTTCAATGTTCTCATGAGCATAAGACCTTGGCCTGTACCTACTTTTACTTTCTCATCAAAACTTTATTGTTGGCCTAATAGCTTCCTCTCCACCCCTGTTCATTAACGCTAGCTACACCAAAGCCCTAGCTATTCACCTGTTTTTAAATGCTTTAACCTCAGCATAAGCCTGGGGCCTAGATGGATGCCCATTTTTGCCTACTCTGACTTCATCATAAGCCCTAGTCCTAGTCCTTCAACTTCTACTTTCTCTAACCTCATCATATGCTTATGGTCTAGCTCTAACTACACAATGACCCTAAGGTTTAGCCCTGCACCTATTATTACACACTATAACCACAGTAGAAGTCTGAGGCCCAGCTATTAGCCTCCATTTGCTCACTCTAACTTCATCAGGCACCTAAGGCCCAGCTTTAAACCTACTTGTACCCACTGTAACTTTAACATTAGCCTGAGGCTATGTGTAAATATAAAAATGCTTACTTCATCATGAACCTGACTGACCAATAACTTTCTCACACTAATGCCATCTTTAGCCTGAGGCCTAGCTCCAAAGAATACATTGACATACTCTGACTAATTTTTAAGACAAAGGCTTAGTGATAAACCTATGTAAAACTACTTTTGCTTACTCATACATAAGGCTTAGCTCTTAACCTACTTGTACTCACCAGCACTTTAACAATAGCCTAAGGACTAATTTCAGCTACTCTAACTACATCATGAGCCTAATGCCTGGCTCTACAGCACAGAGCTAAAGCCTGGCTTCTAACCTATTTGTACTTACTTTCATTTAACCATACGTCTCTGCCCTGGCTGTAAACTCACTTCTACTCACTCTGACTTTAGCATGACTAAACCTAGTTTTACTCAATCATCAATTTACTTAATTCATCGCAAACCTACAGTCTATCTATAGACACACTTTTACTTTGTCTAAATACAACAGAAGCCTGGGGCCTTGATACGTACCTGTTCATACTTCCTGAAGCTGCATCAAAAGCCTAAAGTTTAGCTCCAAACTTATTTTGACTCATTTTAACTTCTTCATTAACCTGATGTCTAGATGTAGAACTACTTTTATTACAGTCTAACCTTATCACAAGTCTAAATCCATGCTTTAGTCCTCAGACCTACCTCAGGGTTTCTTAATTCTGCTTTTGAC